CTCAAGCTTCCTTACGACATGGTTGCTCTTCTTAGTTTCCTTAGCAGCACCTTCTCCTTCCTCAGTAGCTTCCTTCTTAGCTGCCGTACGTCTTCTTCTTCCTCCTAATGCATGTCAACACCATAGAGCTGAAGGTACCATTGCTTAAAAGGGCGCTCTTTACAAGAGTCTGTGTCCTGACAAGCTCATTGTTCGAGGCATTATATTACCACATCAAGAATACGGGTCGTAACGTGTGACAGCCTCACTACCCCATGAATTCTTTTTACAGTCTTGTTGCTTGACAGCTTGAGCGCTCCTAGTATTTGCAGGCTGACGACCAAGTTCATACTTTCACTTCTTCCTCCAAGCCTTCTTCTTGCTACCAGTGGCACGCTCTCTTGTGCATGGAATCCCTGGACATGCCCATGTTGGCAAGTGACAGACTCAGTTGATCTCTTTCTGTTACTGATTTCTGACTGTGGCTTGTTACTGTTATTGATGCTTAGAGTTTAGATAACCAAGCTTAGATCTAACGGTATCTTTTGCTAAAATAATCAAGAAACCAAAAATTTCTTTTATTTCATGATACAATCATATGATCTTACATCTTTAGACATGAACTAAATCACTCTGAAACCCTTTCAGCAGTAGGAAAATCAGTGGATAAAAAACTAAACAGATACAAATCTCTAAGTTTGCGTTTAAGATAGGCATATTTCCTCAACATCCCTTCCTTTTGGAACCCAGCTTTCTCGACAACCCTTTGGGAGGCCTTGTTGTCCACATCAACAAAGGCTTCAAGCCTCACCACACCAGGGAAGTCAACAAAAAATTGGGACACAGCCATTTTCACGGCCTTTGTAGCAACCCCATGTCCCCAGTACTTGACTGCAACTCCAAATCCGAAATTAGCCCTGCACCTGTCATCCCCGGAGAAGGGGAAGATCGAGACGAACCCGATCGAACGGTCGTCGATGCATATTGATCTTCGCCAAGGGTGTGGTATGCATACATCCTTGATGTGTGTCAGTGCTTCTTCCTTGGAAGTCATGGTCTTCCACCTAAGATGTCTTGTGACTTGTTCATCACCGGCAAACGAGAGAAAATCATCAGCATCCTCCAGCTTGAATGGACGAAGAGTAATCTTTGATAAGTCAATCTCCATCTGATTAGATTGCAATGGAGAAACTATATGGTGATAAAAATCTTTTATAGTAGTCTTGTTGGTCAAAAGTATTATCCACTATATGGAAAAGCTATGTATTAGAATATTGTTCTATCATGCTTCTAGGAAATTTCTCACAACTTTTTTCCTACAATTAATTAATTCGTTAATAGGAAGCAACTCATAAAGTTCTTAAAAGCAAGCTAAAGAGAAACTTGCTTCCAAATAAGGAAATATGTATTCATTAATGGGTTAAATGTATGAATGCTTTTATTTATTTAAAATTCTTTGTATGATTTTTTTTTCTGTTTTTTCTTTTTAAATATTTTTTTAAAAATAATCATAATTAATTTTCAGGATTAATAACTTTGAATTAATATTTTCGAGTTTACATTTGATACATTATAAATTTATAATATTTATATACTATCATTTAAGCACAAAATGTCACATCATAAATATATAGAAGTAAAAAATGAAAAATTCTTCAGAATAAATATTTTAAAATTATGAGTATATATTTTTACGATTTTTGATTTTAAATTCATTTATTAATAAGGTAAAAACATTTGATATATTGATAGTATATAAAATTTATACAGTAACAGTTTATCAAATATAAACTCATTTTTTTCATGATTAAATATAAAAAATTAATTACTAAATAGTTAAAAAATTAAAACATTATATATATA